TTCGCAATAAAGATGCGCAAGACGCTTTTTTGCAGCATCATATGACTTGCGTGTCATCCATGAACTACACCGCGCAGGATTGTGATGAAGAAGCGAATCGCCAAGACGAGCTACTTTGAAGTTGCCGTTGATAGGTGAAGAGGGATAGTATCACGCGTCGACGCGATGTTTCGTGGGAAATTGACAACAGACGTACCAACTGGCCAGCTGCCATCATCTGCATGACAAAGACCCCCTTGACATGGACGACGCCTCTCCAACTGAGCAGTCTGCTGCCAAACCCAGGGCTCACAGCCGTGCCATGGCTCTCGATCGTGCCTGTTTCGAAGCGTTTGAGTGGGCTCCTTCTCGAGCGAGCCACGTTGGACCCGTGAGCCGGATCCAGAAGCCAGTCGCGCCACCGTCGAGTCACTGTCAGGATCGAAGAATGCGCGTCAGATCAGCGTCGTAGCGCAAGGTGCCTTCAACAAGCTCTACGTCTCATCCAGGCCGCGGGCCAGGATGGCCTCATCCTGAGGGTGTCTTTGCCTGTCGACCCACGATGCAAGACACGGCGTGAAGTCGCCACATTGGAGTGGATGTCTCGGAACACTGAGATGCCTGTCCCCAAGGTCATATTGCACGATGCATCGCGGCACAGTCGCATTGGCTTTGAGTGGATCCTTACGAGCAAGCTGCCGGGCGAGGCTTGGGCGACGCGCTGGCAGTCGATGGCCTATGCAACCAAGGAGCAGCTGGCGAAGAGATTTTGTTGCTATTCGTTGCACGTCTTCAGGAAGCAGTGTCGAGTCATCGGTAACATCCATTCCTCTACGGCGTCAGCGGAAGGAGTGCGCATCGTGCCAATGCACTTCTTCTGGGACAGCCGCATCCACGAGGACGTACCCCGCGGCCCGTTCAAGACGACCCGCGACCGGATGAAAGCGCGCCTGATGCTGAGCAGCCGAGAACGCCATGGCAAGATTGCAAGATATTCTGCGCAGAGCGAGATGGATAGCGACGATGAGGAGGACTTGGAAGACGCCGAGCAGACTCTGGACAGCATCAAGAAGCTTCAGCCTCTCTATTGGACGTTGTATTTCCGCCCGCAGAGGACCCCAAGCCTGAAGCGACCATGGTGTTCCACGACGACCGCTCCTTGCATAACATACTCGTGGATAGCGACGGAAATTTGACAGGCGTTGTGGATTGGGAGTGTGTCTCAGCACTCCCCTGTGGGCATCATGCTATTTCCCGTCTTTCCTGAATGATAGACCACGGAACTCCATGCCAGGTGGGTCAAATTATGACGTCGATCCCAATGGAGAAATCGACGGGCTGTACTGGGACAGTTTGAAAGAGTATGGACTGACGCGTCTCAGTAGGATGTTCCTGGAAGAAATGGCAAGCCTGGAACCCGGATGGATGGAGGTATTCAAATCCAGCGCGTAGAAGCGTGATTTGGACATGGCAGTGCGCCACTGTGACAACGACTTTCTCGCTAAGCGCATCAAAGCCTGGGTAGACGATGTGACGAAGGGACGTGTGGATGAAGCTGGATTGTTCGAGCGGATATATGAGGATTGAGAGCAGGCCCTCGATAGGCATCATCAGCCCAACACTGCAAAGGGACACGAGCTGAATCGCCTTGGATCATGCAGCAAGGGTCGTTGGGGTACCAAGCACTATGAGTTGATTGCATGGCCGATATGCCGCCCGAACCATGTCACCTTCCCCCACCGACTCGCCCATTCTGAGACGATCGACCCCTGGTGGCCGGGGGTGAGCACAGACCAGGAAATGTTGGGATGAGCCTCGTTCGTCTTGTGTCTTCGCCTGGGGTTTTGGGCTTCTGGGCCCCCATCCTGTCCTCTGATCTCTGTTCTCCATCCTCCTCGGGTCACACACACTCATAACCCACACACACCTGCTGACCGCCCAATCTATCTCGGGACGAACAACGACCCTTCACGAGCGAAACCCGCCGACAGGACATCGCGACGACCACCAAGTCATCGAGTGACCCGGCTAGAGCCTTTACACTTGCATCCCTTGCCTGCACTCCACAAAGCGCCTCCCGACAATGAAGTGACGGTCGGCATCTCGGACACGTCGTCTCTCAGTCCAATTACCACCAGCCAAGTCCAAAGCTAAAGCTCGACCCGAAGCCATGGCCTCCTCGAACCCCCCCTCCTCCAACTCGCCGACTTTCCTCGAGCAGACCGCATCCATGCTGAGCACTGCTGGCGCCTATCTGCGCCTTCCGGCCCTCGCCTCCACGGTACGACTACATGCTGTCTCCCCTCCTCTTCCTCCTTCTCCTTCTCCACCCCCTCCTTCTGAAGCTAGGACTGTCCTCCTCATGTCAAACCCACACGATTCTTGACCATGAAGGCTCGTAGCCGGTCCAAGGCCGCCTTGAAGGGTAACACAAGCTGACACGGTGTTGTTGTACAGGGCGTTGCTGCGGTTCTGACCTCGCTGCTCTACTTCAAACAGAAGTACGTCGCCCAGTCCCGACTCTCCAACCCCCCCCCCCCTTTTTTTTTGGGCACACCCTCTGACACGTCTCCAGGGCCCTCATCTACCCTTCACACATGCCCCCGAATGCCCGCACCGAAGTGCCCCGACCATCCCAATTCGGCATTAAGGATTTCGAAGAGCTGGTAATCCCTACCAACGATGGCGAGAAGCTGTCCGCCTTCTACATTCGCGGCCCCCGTGGCAACCGCAACTCCGACATCACGGTGCTCATGTTCCACGGCAACGCCGGCAACATCGGCCACCGCCTGCCCATCGCCCGCATGCTGATCAACTTTCATCGGCTGCAATGTCTTCATGCTCGAGTACCGCGGCTACGGTCTGTCGACTGGCGAACCCGACGAATCGGGTCTCTACACCGACGCCCAGACCGCCATCGAGTACCTCCGCGCCCGCGCCGAGACGAGCAACCATAAGCTGGTGGTCTACGGCCAGAGCCTGGGCGGCGCCGTCGCCGTCAAGCTCGTCTCGAAGCACCAGAAGCACGGCGATATTGCGGGCCTCGTCCTCGAGAACACGTTCCTCTCGATGCGGAAGCTCATCCCCTCCGTCATCCCACCGGCTCGCTACCTGACCTACCTCTGCCACCAGGTCTGGCCGACCGACTCAGTGATCCATAACGTCTCCGTGCCGATCCTTTTCCTGTCTGGCCTACAGGATGAGATTGTTCCGTGAGTTTTGCATCTGCCCCTTCTTTTTTGTTTTCTTCTCATATGATGCCAAATTATCACCCACAAAAGATGAGTTTCCCCTCGGGGAAGCGTTGAATACCTTTTTCACCACTTATTGTCTGACACGAAAAATTCCTTTCTCTCTCTTTGAAACCTGATCACTCGAGTACTCGCGGCCGCTGACACCAGCAACATGATAGGCCAAACCACATGCGCCAGCTCTACGACCTCGCCACAGCTTCCATCAAGATCTGGAAGCCGCTGCCTGGCGGCGACCACAACTCGAGCGTACTTGAGGAAGGGTACTTCGAGGCGATCTCCGACTTTATCACCTCCGTCACGGGCGACGAAAAGAAGGCCGACCGACAGCGCTTGTAGGAAAGACATGGCGCGAAACGAGAAGCCCTGGGCGCCGCGGCCCGCGAAGAAGAGGAGCAGCAGCAGGACCAACACGACGCGCGGGTGAGGATGAGGCGGCGCTCCGTCGGGAGGCTTTTGGTCTGCCGGCAATGCAGACGGAACAGGCTGCCGATGGTGAAGCCTATTGTGAACGTGGGGCAGGCGAAGGGTGGCAGTGAGGTGTGAATGGCGGGCAGGCGTGGCTGAGATGCGACATTGAGAATGGAAAACGGCGGCTGCATTGGACAAGGCCCTCGGCCATGGGCGGCATTTCTCCCTGGTTGAGGTGGTCATCATCAAACGATACCCCTCGGTATTTTCTTTTTATTAATTCACTCCTAGAGAGTCGACACACGTCGGGGTGGCGGTGCGGAGGCGGAGAGCATGTTACATAGGTACCGACGACCTGTACATACACACTGACGAAGTCCACGATGAATGCTTATATGGATTGTTTGCTTATCCAGCATATGTGTGCACGACGGAGCTCGTGCTCGTGCATGCGTCAAGACAGTACCCGCAGGCTTGTTCGACGGCCCATGGTGCAGCTAGCTTCTGTCGTTGCATCACCCGGGTACCGCCAAGTCAGGCTGAACACATCGGAGAAAACAACAGTTCAGTTGGCACAGAGGATGTACTGGGTTTCGTCGTGGGCCCCGCTATGCCGGGAGGAAAGTTTGGAGCACTGGGTCCCTGTGTCTCGTCACGATCCGCATCGTGCTCCAAGCTGTAACAGTTGGACAAAGAGCCAGCGGAGCTCTCTGACACGCAGCGGAGGTTTGACTTTTTTTCTTCCCCTTTGCCCCCGCCCTGATCTTGCTTTTCGGGAGCTGTCTTTCGTCTCGGACAGAGGAACCATGACTGCTTTCTGTCTTGGTTGAATACGAGGTGGCTGATCGTTCGTCGACCGCGCGTCTCGGCTGTTGCACCCGCGTCTTCGAGCAACTGCAGGGCGGGACGGTAATTCCTCACGAACGAGGTATGATGGGGTCGCAGATCCGTGTGTTGGGCTTGGTCGGGGCGCCTTTGGCCAGCACCGATCCGCCCAGACCTCCCTGAAGCAACGTCATGCCTTGAGGGGTTGGCGTATGCTCGTCGCCCTCCCGTTAGGATGGCATGTCCTGTTCTGTTCATACGTTGGGAGGTGTTGATATGACCGGCCGACTTGGCGATGACTTCTGGCTTGGAGGAAAGGCTTCGTTGGGGTGGGCGTGGACGGCAGAGACTGTGAGTTGGATGGGAAGGTCTGATGTCTTGCTCGCCTCGGCTCACGAGGCCTTCATGGTGAGTGGAAGACTTTTGTCTAGTAGGAAAAAAGGCCTACATGATTGAAGAATTTACTGCATCTTCGTCCGAATCACAGCTCGCTACTTATATCCAAGATGTTTCGACTCTCACGACCACAGATAGAAGATCACGCGATACTGTATAGCCTTAATGAAAATACTCTCTTAACCAATTTGAAGGTGTTGTCAGCAGACTGAAGGTATCTCCCTGGTTGATGACATCTTGTCAGCCCTCTTGGATGCTTTGTGCATGTGATAGGCGCAGACGCCAAGGTTTGTGGTTTGTTTAAAAAAGAATTGACATTGGTTTATATCGTGAAACGAAGCTGTAGTCTCACGGCGACTGAAAAATGGGAATGGCCACAGAGCCTAATCATCCATTTTTTCCGCAGCAGCCTCCCAGTCTTCCTCCGTCTCTTGCACAATCTTCTTTCTCGGCAGCCTCGAGAAACTCACGAACCCGCTAGCAGGTTTCTTCTCGACAGGCGCAGGCGCCGCAGCCTGCGGCCTCCGCCCCACGACGGAGCTCCAGCCGCCAGCATCCTTCGTCTCCCCCGTGACCTCTTTCCGCAAGACATTCTGGTCCTGGTCCGCATGCACGAGCGTCACGGCACCGGCTAAGCCGGCCTTAGCACCGTGCGTGCGATTGTTGGTTTAAGGTTCGCGAGCGAAGGTCTCAACGTTAGCAGTGCTGGAGCCCCAGCTCGAGACGGGCCGCCGCGCGGACGAGGACCTCATCTGACGGCAGGAAGCTCGTCGTAAAAGACAGATTGTTATGCGCCGCAAAATCTCCGGCAAGAGCAGCGTCCAGCTCCTCAATGGTCAGCGCGAACCGCGGGGTCGAGAGCAGCAGCGCGTTGAACGGCGCCTGCTTGGGCGCCTCGGACGCAGACGCTCCGGCCTTGGCCGCCGCAGCTTGCACATTCTTGATCTTGACGCACTGAGCGAGGGTCTTGGAGGGCGCCGACACGAAACGCGGTGTCTTGAAGACGCTGACGTGACGGTGCGGCTCCGGATCCTGGCTCTCCGTGTCCAAGCCAAAGTCCTCGGCGAGGGCGTGGAGGAAGGCTCGCTGCGAAGGCGGCATGGGCTTGAAGCGTATGCGCTTTTCGGCGGCGTCCGAGGCGAAGACGCGGAACTCGCGCTCTTGGGTCTGACACCAACGCACGCTGTCGCGGAATAGCTTCAACGTGGTATCTGAGTAGGGAACATGGTCGTCGGTGTGAGTTGCAGGATCGATGCTGAGGGCGGCTGCAAGTTTCTGGTTGCGCTGGAGACGAAGGCACTCGTCGTCGCACTTGAGAGTTTCGCGTTCAGGCTCCGGGTTGATACGGGTGGCGAGACATTTGATTTCCTTCTTGCGGTGTTGGCAAGCACAAGTGATGAACTCCTTAGCCTGGCACGCCTTATCCTCTTTGCAGGCTGGTAATTGTTAGCATCGAAGTCCGAGGGAATCACGGTGATCCTTACGGTATGGCGCATGGCAGTTATCTTGGTCTGCGTGCCCACACGACTTTCTTGATTTGCCACAAGGCTGATTACAGTGAGAGCCAGTTATGTCGGCATCCTCACATTGACCTGGTCGATGGCACTGTTTCTTGCACGTATGCGTTCTGCTACCATGTCAGCGTCATCCTGCTGAGCACCTCAACGACCGAAACTTACCCGCATTTAAGCTTCTCGCCGCAGGGAAGTCCACAGCGGACCTCTTCGAACCAGCATGGCTGGTTCTTGAGTCTCTGCTTACCACAGATGCATGGCTTTTCAACCAAAAATGGGCACTTTGGGCACGCGATGTCATCGGGATGACAGTTGTGCGACACTGGCGGATGTCCACAAACCGGCCGCCTCGTGCAATCGAAACGACACTCTGGAGGTCTAGTTCCACATGGTTGGGGCGGCTGCAACACCGTGCGGCCGCAAGTGCAGCTGATCTCATCGAAGACGGCCTCGAGACAACTTCCGCACGGTCCTCGGTGACATATCTGTTGGCACTGATGAGCACCGCACTTGAGGGTCCTCCCACAAACGCGGATGCAGATATGCTCGGCCTCAATCTCATCCGGGTTCTGCAGCTTGTTCTTCCGCTTTGCCGCCTGCCTCTCAACCGCCTTCTTCTCGCCAGGACAACAGCGGTCGCCGCACTGGTGACGACCGCAGTTCAACTGCGCTTGACACACTCTCACACACACGGGAAGAGCCATGTCATCACCATGGCAGAGCGTCCGGCTGGATGTGCGGCCGCATCTGCAGGCAATGTCCATCCTCTGGTAACAAGGTGGGCAAGGGCCAACGTGGCACGTCCTGTCACACTCGTGCCCACACGCTAGGGTCTTGCCGCATATCTCCTGACAGTGAGGAACAGGATCCTGGCATGACTGCCGTGGTTGTTCGAGCAGTCGTTCCAGCGGCGTTTTGCCGCAAGGGCAGTTTTCGACAACATTGGGAGAAAGTGGACAATGAGCTTCGACCTCATCCTGGGGGTGGCAGGTTTTCTGGCATTCGTGATGGCCACAGTCGTATTTCCGTCCACAAGAAGCCCCGCAGTCGAAACAACCATCGAACGGCTCTTGAGGTTGCACAGTATCCGTTTCCGAGGCGTCAATTTGGCCATAATTGAAAGACGTCCGCACCTCGTCCCGACGATCGCAAGGAATCTTCTTCTCGACCTTGCCACAATAGCAACGTGATACCATCGGCACGGTACAGCTGCCACATAGACCAGAGTGGCACTCTTGTTCACAAAAGTGCTCTCCGCATGGCAGCAGGTCGCCACAAATCTCCTTGCAGCTCCAGCCATTGTCGTAGTCGGTGTCGCTGCAACGCTTGGTGCTCTCCTGCTTGCCGCAGAAACAGGGCTGTGTCGGTCCCATCAAATCGCACGGACGACACGGCCCGGCGTGGCAGTCTGAGAAGCAGAGATGAGGACATGTCGCTCGCGGCTTCGTGCAGGTTTGGCCGCACGAGTGTGGCGGGAGACTGCCAACATTCTGTGGATTGATGTCTTTGCCACACCAGCAGTGGTATGAGCTGGGGTGTTCCGTCAACTTTGAGTTGCAGCCAGGGCATCGCCATGTCCTGGGCTGATCGGGCTGTTCTTGTTCCAGGGGGTTCGGCTTCTCGATCTGGCTCTTGTGCCATTTCTTGACACAGGGAAGATGGACGACAGTCCAGCACAGGTTACAGGACCAAACCTTCGAGGACCGCAGGACTTCGCTGGCGCAAATTACACACTCATACTGTCCATTGCTGATGTCCTGGTGAATACGAGTGGGCAGATCCTCAGCCGTTGACTTTGGAGCCAGAGGATATTGGGGTGCTTTCTGTCTTGGTGGTTGTCTGCTGGTCCCCTATTAGTTTCGCATTCTTTCATTCTCTCTTCTCTCGTGCTTCCCGATGCGCCACCAGGCACAGCGACATACCTCTTCGGAGCGATGGCCTGGCCGGGCACAAACTCTGCAGCAGCCGCACTCAGCCCAGCGTCCCCGTCGACCTGGCCTCCACCATCCGCCATTTCTGACGTCAGGTGGCCGCCAAAGGTCCTCTGCGTTCCCGCAACGAAGCCTCCACTGCGAACAGCAGCACCTCCCCTACCAGCCCTCAAGCCTCCACCGCCGCCACCTCGTCCCCTCCCCCTGGCCCTCCCCCGCCCTCGCGACGATGACGATGCAACGGCATCGCCTGAATCGTTTGCAGGTGTCGGAGAGCCGTTGGTCCTCTCGACAGGAGCAGCAGCCGCCGGCTGTCCACCCTGCTCAGCAGCGCCGCCACGGCCCTGCCCCTGCCCGCGCGACGCCGCGCTGCCCTCTCCGCCGCTGCCTCGGGCGTCCCCCGACTTCCCTGGGCGCCGTCACTCGCAGGAGCTGAGCTTGCCTCTGCCGGCATGATTGTGTAGATGTGAGCCTGGTCGTGGGTGTCGCCGTCCAGTGTGAGGGGTGAAAAGCCTTCGATGGCTGTCTGCCTGCCTACGTTTGCGAGGTGAGGCGTAGATTTTTGTGGCGCGTGCGCTTTTTGAAATACAGCGACTTTTGAAATGCTCTGGTCGAACCGAAAAGCTCGGGACCTTGAGGGCGAAAAGAAAGAAATGAAAGGAACAAGGAAAATTCCCAAGTCTCGTGAACGAATAACTCGCTTCCCTGGATCCTCCACTGTACTCAATCGTGCTGTTCGTTGAAGGTGGAAGAGAAGAAATCCGTCGTGGAGGCAAGAACGTCGTCGTCCATATAACGGGATTGTGGGTCCACCAGGCTGTGGCGATGCTACCCGCCTGCCGCCTGCCAGCCTCACGTTTTTGCCATACTGAATGTGGCTGACAAATGATGATCACTATGAGTCATGCCGGGTGCGCCGTCGTGTCGTGGGCATTTGGGTAAAAAAAAAAAGGCTGCAATGCACAACTGGAATGAAATTCGAGGCGACATTTATCTGCTATTCAAAAGTGCATTCGGAACGCCCATGCTGTGCTGTAGGCAAAAGTGTTGACTCATCTAGCCGACTGAGTTTCGACTCCTCCAAGGGCACTTCCAGGCGCCTGGTGCGGTTCTGGAAATCCGGGCGACATACAATGCACCTGAGTCCAGTTGGGCTTTCTCGCGATAGCCATGACCAAGCTGATATGACGCGCTTAGCATTGCGTTGCTGTTGGGAACTATTGGGCAGTCTGAGGCTCTGACGATCGTAAAGCGCATCTCACGGAAGCCGTCTCAGAATGTTCGCTCTAGACAATGTACTGGAGTTTTCTGTGAAACTCGAGCCGGAGCGAACACCATTACTCTGACAGCACGGTCCTATGCTCGATCTACGCCGGATGGACCCCAACAGCCGTTGAAAACGGTTACGACTAATTCAAAGTGACATGCGGACACCGATGCAGCCCTACGCCAGAACTGGTACACAGCATTGTTCGTTCCCTCCAATGACTGTGGGTCTGAATCGAGAGGCTCGCTGTGGCTTCCCACTGCTATAGTTCACCACTGGCTACGACCGCAGACCGATCCTCGCCTCGTGTTGCAGTGACGAAGTGCGGCGTCCCAAAAGGAGCAGCACTGAATTCTCTTTTGGCTGAACACGCTTTCTTCTCCCGTCCGATGTGGGGATGGGGGGTGAAAGCTGTTGGTCCCCTTGATATCCAAGGGGGTAGTTATCTCACAACTTACTCAGGAGCTTAACACATGTCGAAACAGCACATCTTAAAACAGCCGCATCGGTGGATTGCCCTGGAGTCATGTCATGCGAATTGACCCATCCTGTGCTAGATCAGGAACTATTGGCAGCCGGCCATGAGCATAGGAACCACGATACGCCTTCAGACAAGACCAGTGCATAGAGCTCTCCGGTTCCGGGGGGAGGGGGGCAGATGCAGCCTGTAGTGGCATCATGCGAACGCAGGAGGCCTGCCACCAAGACATGTGCATATGCGCAGCTGGGTTTGGCAAGTCAGGACGTGGATTCGCGCAAGCGAGGTGTGATAGCAGTCTTCAGGCGTAGGACAATAACACCTAGTCCGGTCTATACGTAAACTTGTGGCGACATGGCGACGCCTCTGAAGATCATGTCACGAACTCTTCCCCATAAGCTTGATGGCTTCTTATCGCATCCGCAGAAACAACCTGCGGTGAGGCTGACTTAGTCTGGCGTGGTTCTTGGCGCCACAAGCAGATGGCCTTGTCTGAACCTGTGAGGCGAAGCAGAGTCCAGCTTCGCGGGAGATCATCTTACCCAGACGGGATGGGAAACTATTGCCCGAGCTAGTGTTCCGTGGCCTTGTTCTACATGTTCGTGCCGTTGCTCAAACGACCTTGATTACTGAGGGCCGGCCGCCCGGTTAGGCATCCGAGAGCCCTAAGTGTGACGATCCCCTCCAGACCCTGTCCAGGCAGAGCTGTCGATCAGTTGGCAACACGGCGACCAAGTGCGGCTGACCATGCGTGGGCTTGAATGACAGGGGTCGTCGCGATATTTCTAACGGCGCAGTGGGGGACAACTTCCTGCACCTAGGTCAATAAGCTGACGCTGCCGTGTGATCAGTCTGCTTTCATCGCACGTCGTGGATCCATTGAGCTCATTAAGGCGTTCCCGGAAAGCCACGACTGGGTACACCCTGGCAGCCTATTCGATAGTTACGCCAGGCCGGAAAAAGCTATAGATTACAGATTATAGATTAGCAGTGAAACCTCAACAGTGCTGGTTTATCGCAGAGGGGTAAGCAGGCATGGGCCACCAAGGAAAACCGCCGGCTACCTCGTTGAATGAGGTGGGGTTCGTCCCTGAGGTATGTCTTACGGATACGAGATGCTAGCGGCGGGTGCATATGCAACTTGACAAATGCTCAGCGAGGGCATGGAGCTACAAGATTCGGGGACTCTCCCACACTGATCTCCGTGGCGCCATGGTATTGGGCGAGTACATCACTCTGGTTAGGCCAGCGTTCACACCGTCGTCGAACGTAACTAATCGGGTGACGAAGCGGCCCGCCTTCGTCGAGGAACCATCAAGCCACGAGCTAGCTAGGCTGAACGGGTAGGCAGGAGATGGCCATTTCCAGTTGGCTATGCTGGTGGTGGCTTACTGGCGCCAAAGATAAAGGTGGAGATGTATGGCGTGGAACAAAAGACATGCTTGGTTGGAATATGGATGGGCTGCTGCGTGGAAGGTGATGGTGGATTTTGGTAGTATCAAGGCCGACGGGAATGTTGAATATTGGGCGCCGTTGAGGATCGTCGCGAGAATCTGCATGTTGCATTTCATCGGCAGTCAGAGCCTGATTGGGACGATCTCCATTGCGGTGAAGCACCAGGCCCAGACTGAGGCGTGGTTTGATGCTTTTCCGGTAGGCACATCTTACCTCTGGCACATCAATATTCCCATCTGTCAGCCTGCAGCCTCCACGAATAAAGTGCAGCATAGCGCGTGATATGGAGAATGCAGCCTGGCCCGGGCGGCATGCTGTTAACCACGGTTGGTACGTCCAGTGTGGCCGAGACGGGGGCTCAAGCGTCCAATGTCACCCTCCGTCTGTCGGTCAGCGTTACTTTCTCTCCGAGGTTTGGATGTACGAGTGACGTTTTCATGCAAAATGCGACCCCAAGTGCACGGGAATGGGTCAGGTGGAGAAACGGATGACCTGATCTGCAGTCCAAATCGTGAGGCCTGCTGACAGTTGCCGGAGCCGATGGCATCGCGACGTGTGTCGCATCCGAGTCGCTGTAGCTGTGGCGTTGTGATGTGTTCGAACAAGGCAGGAGGAGCCGGTTGAGCTCACCTCATCAAGGTTGAAGACAAGGAAACATTCCAAGAGAAAAACATTGTGCATTCGATAATTCGGGCGAAGGAGGGATCCTCACTTGGCCTCATGGGGTCTTCGTGTTGCGACCGCATTTGCTTCGTTGGGACAGCATACCCTTTTTTTCGTGGTTGATGGTTCGATGGAACGAAGACGGGGGGTCTGGGCCTACAGAACCAATGCACCAGCCGGCAGGTGCTGCCAAGGGCGCCCGGGCAATAGCAGAGGGGCCCGCGGCTGCCCAACGTCACGTTTGAGTACTGGAGCTCTCTTCGCACAGACCATGAGCGCAGACCCTGCAAAGGTATTTGCCGTTCGCTACTGCCTACCGAGTACCTCCTCCCTTGCCGTAGGGCAGGCAGGTGGTACTGACCCTGATTATCCCAGAAATCGGAAATCAAATCTAGAGACGACCGATTTTGCCCATTCGCCTCTGGACCCCTCCTTCGTGCCGTTGAAGGATCAATCACCGGCGACCGGTATAGCCCGGCATGGCATCCCTCCATCCTCCCATCCTAGATTCCTGATCATCAGGGGGATCATCATGGTCCCCCAACTGAGCAACCCCCCGATCTCAACCAAGATTCTCCACTCCGTACCTAGGTAAAGAAGCATGACGAGTCGCAGGACACCCTCACCACCGCCGACAGTCGGTCAGCAGCGCTGCACATATTGCTGTGGCGCCTGCGGCAGCTCGCCAGCTGCTCCATCTATCACCACCTGGGCCACCTCATCGCCCCCAGGCGGGCTGGGCAGCGACAGAAAACGCGCAAGCGGCGTGGCAGTAAGCGGCTGAGCAACACATTATCATGCGCCGTACCCAAACCCTGTCGTCACTGTGCCGTGCCGACAGGTACTAGAAGCACCTCAGCTACGGATTGCGTCGACCATCAGGCGATCCGAGGCCGTTCCATGACCAAAGATTCAGGACTGGCGGCGCCGAAAGCCACCACAATGCACCTTGGCTCTTGTTCCCCCCATGCGTCCGCATGTCCGCATATCTTGGCACATCGCCTCTGTATTGAACGCAGCAACCTCGTTCGAACACCTCGGCGCTCTCCCGTCTTCCACGTCGTCGTTGTCGTCGTGGGGTGAACCTGAACGGTCAACCCCCTGGAGCCTTGCCCTATCAGGACCCCCAACATCTCGATTAGCCCTTCTATCTGCTCCCAACAAGGTAGTCTAAATCGTCGTCTCGTATTTCCCTGTCTGTCCAAGCCTCCTCTCGGGTACCGCCTGCATACCACCCATAGCCATAGCATCAGACCGCCTTGCCCAATGCGCAGAGGAAGTCTCGGCATTGGACGGCATCTGACCCGGCCATTCTGGGCCGCGATGGACAGAATTTCATGTGGAAGCGGCATGGGCCTCGCCAAGTCTGCCAATATTGACCTATCGACAAGGCATGGACTCTTCTGCTTAGTGCCTCTTTCAGCAGAGGCAGCAACGACACCACAATGGCAACACCACATTGCCATGCTCCTCCTTGTGTGATGCCTCGCCCGATACGTCTGCGTCCGGCTCAGGCCGCCTTTCTGCATGTCATTCCCTTAATCTCCACCAGCTAGCCATCCAACCATCCAACTTCTCACGCATCGAGCTGCCACCACTCGTATCAGCTCTAGGGACCCCACGCCCTGACCTATCTATCTTTTCCTCCAGGTATGCGGCTCGCCAGCTCTGGATATTTTGTAGCCTTTATTAGATACATAGCGATCACGTCCCCCGGCCAAGCAACCTTGTGTCGGACGTTTCCTCTCAGATCACAGCTTTTGAGCTTGACCCATTATCCATCTAGCTCAACCTCTCGTATTGGTGTCTGCCACCTGGCTTGTTGAAGGCTTCTCTTCTTCTTTGGCTCTACAAGTCATAACTTTAACGCCAGCTCTCCTCGCGTCTATCCCGGCATCCAAAAGGGTAGTCAAGCTTTCACTCTCCAGTAGCCCGCACTTGCTACATATAATAAGGCGGCTTCTTCGCCATGCTGAGGTCCTGACGCCTAGCAAACATCAGTCAACATGAGGCCTGTTCAGCTATCATCTGCCTTTCTGGCCTCTTCGTCCTTGGTCAATGCTGCGGCGGGACATCTCGCCAAGCGGGATCCCCCTGCAGAGATAGCGGGAGGATGGACGTACCAAGGCTGCTATATGTTCGTTTCCCCAGACTCCCCACGTATGGGCTCGATCTGATCTTCTAAAGCGACATAGACCGGTCTCTGACTGGCGCGTCGCGTGTTTCTGCCGACATGACGAATGAGGTGTGCGCGACGTTTTGCGCCTCGCGCGGTTTCGCCTACGCTGGCACTGAGTGGTATCAGGAGTGCTGTAGGTTGATACTCAGAATCCAATTCTGTGTCAGTATGTTAGCTAACAACCATGGGGCAGATTGTGGCAATGCTCTTGCGGTCGGCGGAGTCATTGCCAATGAGCTTGACTGCAACACTCCCTGTGCGGGCGATACGACCCAGCCATGCGGTGGTCCCAATCGATTGACGCTCTTCTTCACCGAAGAAGCCAATGGCCCAAGTGTTAATCCAGGAGTTGGCGGCTGGGTGTCAGAAGGTTGCTATACGTAAGCAAAACTTGCAGATTGTTCGCGAGATGATGAACCTGTCCGCTAACTGCCACTTCAGTGATGGCGCAGGAGGGCGAACCCTCTCTAACGGGATCGGTAGTATTCCGGCGTCTGAGATGACAGTTGCTAAGTGCCTTGCGGCTTGCAGAGCAGGCAACTACAAACTAGGCGGTGTGGAGTACGGAGGCGAATGCTGTGGGTGCTCTCCTCCTCGCCGGAGGGTAGATGGATTGACTAACAGGAGTAGATTGTGACAACTCGCTCAAGAATGGAGGTGCGCCTGCCGTCGACGGCTGCAACATGCTTTGCAACGGCAACACCACCGAATACTGCGGTGGACCCAATCGCCTCAATCTCTACAACTACAAAGAGGTCGTAGATGTGTCGTCAACGGTAACAACCACGCCCGAGCCCACAGGTACGGCTTCTGTCATCGAGACCGTCCTTCCTACCTCAACTATCACTCCCACTGGGCCAAGTCACCCAGAAACCGTGGGTCCTTATTCCTGGGTTGGCTGCCGTACCGAGGCCACCGGCGCCCGTGCTCTCGGCGCCAAAGAGCTTGCGAACGATCAGATGACTCTTGAAACGTGCCAAACCTTTTGTACGGGATACAAATACTTTGGTACGGAGTATGGAAGGGAGTGCTTCTGTGGTAATACGTTTGCAGCAGGCTCTCAGACCGCCCCCGAATCGGACTGCAGCATGAGGTGTTCTGGTAGTCCCCAACAATACTGTGGCGCCGGCAATCGCTTGTCCGTCTACATGCTTGACGAGGGGGGTTCGCCAGCCTCATCAGCTGTAACCTCAGGCGCTGCTACTAGCGATGCAGGGGTTGCGAGCGCTGTCTCAACCTCAACTTCGACGTCAGCGCGTCCTGTGGCGACTGGCTACCCATCCGGGTGGAGCGAACAAGGCTGTTGGGTCGACGGGGCTGGCGGTCGCATCCTCACCCACCAGGTCCCTGACGACAATGCTCTGACCCTTCAGAAGTGCGCCAAGAAATGCTTTGATTTGGGTTACACTGTTGCTGGCGCTGAGTATTATCAACAGTGCTTTTGCGGTAATGCTATTATCAACAACGGTGTCAAGGCTTCCAGCGACTCGCAGTGTAACACGCCATGTGCGGGTGACAGCACGCAGATGTGTGGTGGAGGTGACCGTATGACCATCATCTCGGATGGCCCTCCTCGAGTACGTGGTCCTCCTTCGCCCCAGCTGAGTGGCTTTAACGGCGACTGGACATACCAGGGCTGCCTTCAAAGTTTTGTCGGAACGACGCGGACTTTCTTCTGGCAGAACTTCTTCCCTGGCACCATGACTGCTAACGAGTGCCTCGATCGTTGCGGCGAATTTGGATACATGGCTGCTGGCCTCGAGTACGGCGAGGAGTGCTACTGCGGTGATCCGGCCAACATTGATACAATTGGTACCGTCTTCCGTCCCGAATCCGAATGCAATATACTCTGCGCCGGCAATGACTCTTCCATCTGCGGTGGCGGCAACCGGATGTCAACTTATTTCTGGACTGGCACTCCCCTTTACGCATGGACCTTTCCCCAGGACGTCGCCAGGGCTGGCTCGTACGAGCTCCTAATTGGAGGCGTCTGCATCCCACTCATGACAATGGAGTCTATCACGGGAAAGGTTACATTCCTTGAGAAATGGGGAACTGGTCCGGCCAATTCTACGGGTGCCTACGAGCTGGACCTCTCCTTGACGCCTAACAGGAACACCGCATGGCGTGAGATGAACGTCAAGACGGACATTTTCTGCTCGTCTGGTCTTATACTTCCCGACAAGGCCGGCCGTCAACTCACAGTCGGTGGATGGTCGGGCGACTCGACTTATGGTGTTCGCCTTTATACACCTGACGGTTCGCCAGGAGTCAATGGCACCAACGACTGGGAAGAGAATGTAAACCAACTATCCCTTCAAGACGGTCGATGGTACCCAACTACTATGATCATGGCCAACGGCTCCATTTTCGTCATTGGTGGCGAAGAGGGATCCAATGGCGCTGCCGTTCCCACCATTGAGGTCCTGCCATACACGGGACGGGCACCGCTGTTTATGGACTGGTTGGAACGCACCGACCCGAACAATCTGTATCCCTTCTGCGCAGTCTTGCCGAGCGAGAACATATTTGTGGCCTACTGGAACGAGGCTCGCATTCTGGACAAGACAACTTTCGAAACGCTGACCATCCTGCCGACAATTCCCGGCACGGTGAACAACCCTATGGGTGGTCGCACATACCCTCTCGAAGGTACTGGCGTCTTGCTTCCGCAAAAGGCACCATACACAGCTCCCCTCGGTATACTCATATGCGGTGGATCTACAGAGGGCGTGGCAACGGCCATCGACAATTGTGTAACCATCTACCCTGAAGCCCCAGAGCCTGAATGGGTGATCGAACGCATGCCCTCGCGCCGTGTCATGTCTTGCATGGCGCCGCTGCCTGATGGAACGTATCTCATAAATAACGGCGCGCAGCAGGGCGTGGCAGGCTTCGGTCTCGCAGAGTTCCCCAATCTGAATGCGCTCATCTACGATCCAGAGAAGCGTGTTGGCGCACGCATCACGGTCGTAGCCAACACAACAATTGCGCGTTTGTATCACTCGGAGTCTATTACGCTTCTCGACGGTCGCGTGCTGGTCACAGGCTCTGACCCTCAGGACGGTGTCAACCCTCAGGAGTATCGCGTCGAAGTCTTCAACCCGCCGTACCTGACCAGCGGCAAGCCCCGACCAACCTTCACGCTCGCGAACCGAGACTGGGACTATGATGAGTCAATCACGTTCACGCTTGGCAGTGCCCCGGTCAACGGTGCCATCTCTGTTACGCTTCTTGGTGGCGTTTCATCAACACATGGCAACTCGATGGGCACACGAACCATTCTACCATCCGTCTCTTGTAGTGGCCTCACTTGCACCGTCACGGCGCCGCCTGACGCGGGCATATGCCCACCCGGTTGGTTCCAGTTCTTCGTTCTTGACGGCGGCATTCCCGCAGTGGGTGTGTATGTCCGCATTGGAGGCGATCCAGCCGAGCTGGGCAATTGGCCTGACAAGTCATCCTTTTCACCACCTGGCTTGTAGTAGCTGAATTCAAGGATTGCTCTTTTACCTAAGCATGTTCATAGATCACTGGCCAGGCATACATACGGTGGCAGCCTACCGATCTTTAAGGGGAGGAAGAACACACTCGGTTGGAGTTGGACTGTCGCACATACGGATATTTCTTTTTATCCTTTCGCATAATATACGGTCACTATTTTGTAACGAGCTAACTAGACTATGAGCGATACCGAACGTACCTGGCTCGTTAACGTAGGGTTTTCACCAAATTCATGTAGACACCCGCCAAGAGCGGTTATTGATGTGCTTGGCTGCTTTGGGGGGGGCCAATAGTAATTTGGGTCTTGCAGCCCATGCAAGCTAATCCTCGGCCTCGGTCAAGGAGCATAGCCGAGACATGGAAGTAGCAGACGCAGGCCAGATGGACAATCTGGAGAAGTGGACAGACGTGATGTCAGAGTGATGTGATTTACCGAAGATAAAGGAGGCAGTGCAAATTATCTGTCTCGATCATCCTGGGGGTTTATCTCGCGGATGAATATCTGCGGGGCCCGAACTACGAGGCAGAACGGGAAATGTCCACTAATGCAGTGAACTGACTGATTGGTATCCACAGCGATCTTGAGTTTATGTAAAGAGGCGAAAAGATCCATGGGTCTGGAGGAGGAGAACTCTGACACCGCAAAGAAATCGCCCGAACAACTTTCCTCTTTCGGACCAGCACACACGGAGGTGGATGTGTCTCCACCAGCCGGGCCCGAGATCACGGACACGCAGCAAGCAGGGTTCCCTTCTGGCTTCCCCACCCTCCTGCCCCTTCGACCAAGGTTCTCTCACGCGACTCTCCGCCCACCGACACCAAGGCTCACGGCGGGCAGAAGAGAGAGGAAAAGCGTGCTGGCGCCGTACAACGTGACCGCGAACGCCAGCAGACAGACGGCGTGCCGTACGAGGACGTTGAGCATCTGCATCCTGTTCCGGTGGCGCGAGCGCGTCACAAAGAGCGCGCTGTCGTTCACGTTGGGAAACGGCATGTTCTTGGGCACCGGCCTCTCGAGGAACGCGCAGAGTGGGGCCCAGCGGTCGCTGACGCGGTATTCGAGCAGCTTCTCGGGCGGCACGAGGCGGCGCACGGGGGCCGCAGGGGGCCCTCGTATATCTGCCGGCCCGCCCTCCCCAAAAGGCGTCCTCGAAAAAGGTCGCGAAGAAGAGCCGGATCATGGGCTGGTACATGGACGCGGCCCAGTCGAAGCGCGCCAGCGCCGCGAGAGCGGGATCATGGGCGCGCCAGAAGAACGTCTTGAGCGTCGAGGCGTGCCAGGCCGCCGGGTCGTCGCGCGTCGCCAGCACCACCTTGGCCTCGGGGTAGGCGGCCACGAGCTCGGGCGCAAAGGCCGCGGCCGGCCAGTCGCAGACGGCCTGGCAGTGGCCGAGGAGCCGGTCCCAGTCGGCGCGGGTGAAGGGCTTGCCGATGCCGTGGTATTTCGCCAACAGGGCGTCGTGCCACATGAGGGCGTCGGGGGGGTTCTCTATCGAGCACGACATCATGTGGTAGGTGTCTTCGTAGCCGAGCTGGCGCATGGCTGCGCGCATGGCTGAGATTCTCTCGTGTTTTAGCTGTCTGTTCATAGAAATAAAGCATTGCATGAGATAGAAACAGGATGGTGTCAAGCCTTACACGCTGTTCCTGTGCGGCCGAGGCCGAGGAGGAGGACCTTCATGGGTACTTTCCGGGAGCATGTCCTTCGGTCAATGTCTGTGTCGTTGGTGAAAATGTCGGTCGCCGGCTTGGGCCGATATCTCGCAGCGTAGGCCATGGTGTTTCGCCAAAATAGAACGTGTAACCTTGTATTCTATGCAGAGTCAGGAAGCCAGACAGTTCCAGAAAGTCTATCAACAATCAAGTAAAAGTAAGTGACAAAAGGGGATCGCCGCCATTAATACAGCTCACTAGAAAACACTGCCGCCTCCTATCCTTCCTCGTCCTGGCCTGAACTAACCATCTGGATTCTCCCTCCAACTTTCGCATGCCCTCCCCCTTTTCGACCCTTCGAGTAAAAGAAGACCATCTCCGCCGTATGCACAGGGGCCATGGATCCCAACACCTTGGCAGCTTGGCGAACGAGTTCAAGCAAGTTTTAAGCGGAGTAATTGAGTGGTTCCTCGCCTTGGCGATAGAACTCCAGCGCCAGGTGTTTGGAGACGTAGATCGTCAGTCCCCGTACGCGTGTGGAGGAGACAGGAGAGGGGGGAGACCGAGCCGGGATGTGGGGTGGAGAGGATGTGACCGACGGGCTAATCCCGCATCGCATCCCGACTTTGACTCATTCGGGCATGGCCGATTCATCCCGACATTTGGACGACTCTTGCCTCAAAATGCCCGTCTCACACACAAACAACTTCCGTCGTCAGTCGACATCTCGTGGGCCACTCCCCTCTCACTGAAGCTGCTATCCGGCGGTGATGAATGCGCAGACTCCGCCCGCACCGGCCCCCGCCACCTGGGCCTCATTGCCTCGCAAGTCTCAACTGTTCATCCTGTTCCTCTGCCGCGCCGTCGACTTTCTCCAGGTCGCCTCCCTGCAAGCCTACATCTTCTTCCAGCTCAAGTATTTTGATGCCGGGCTCTCAGATGCGGCGGCCTCGGCGCAGGCGGGCGTCTTGCAGGGCTGCTTCTCCGGCGCGCAGGTCGTGACGGCAGTGTTGTGGGGAAAGGCCTCCGATGCCCCATGGGCTGGCCGCAAGGTTGTCATCATGACAGGCCTCATGGGGACGGCTCTCTCGTGCGTCGGATATGCCTTTGTGAAGACCTTTGCCTGGGCCGTTTTCTGGCGGATCGTCGGCGGGGGCGTCAATGGCACCGTTGGCGCCGTGTGAGTATCTTGCGTTACGGAACGACAACAAGTTCCGTCGAGACGGGGCGCGGCTGACGTGTGAACAGACGAACCATGGTGGCTGAGAATGTTGCAGAGAAAAGATTTCAGTCGAGAGCATTCTTGTTGCTGCCGCTGAGTTTCAATGTCGCCAACGTCATCGGCCCACGTAAGTCTCGCGGCCCCTCTTCAGAGAACGCCATCATCGAACTGACGCCGCCAGCCATGGGAGGACTCCTCGCCGATGCGCCGGCTACCTTGCCGCGCTTCTTCGGCCGAGATGCCATCTTCGGCTTCCGATGGATCCAGGCATACCCCTATGCTCTGCCCAGTCTTTTGAATGCCGTTTTCCTGACCCTCGTCTCGGGGCTCGTCTTCTTCTGTCTGGAGGAGACGTCTCCTGAGAGGAAAGACGGGTATGACCTGGGCCTGGCCATCGCCGCCCGCATCAGAAGTAGACTGTCCGGCGCTCCGTCGTCTTCAGGTTACTCGCGCGTAGAGACCTCCGATCTTGGTCTGGGAGGAGAAGACAGCATCGTCCTGGACACCGCCGAGGTGCCAGCTACCAACCAACCAACTCGGCAGTGCCGCCAGAAGACCAGGCAGAAGCTCCCCTTCCACCGTATCTGGACCCGCAACGTCATCCTTATCCTGCTGACGACAGCCCTCTTCGAGTTCCAGCTCGGCGCTTTCGCGAACCTCTGGCCCCTCTTCCTCTCGACGCCGCGCCCCGCCTCCGGATCAGCCCCACTCGCCGGCGGCCTGGCCTTCTCCGCACCCAAGGTCGGCCTCGGCATGTCTCTCCTTGGCCTTCTCGGCCTGCCCCTGCAGCTCGCTCTCTATCCACCTTTGCAGGCCCGCCTCGGCACTCTGCGCTCCTATCGCTACTTTCTGCCGCTTTTCTCTGTCGCCTACCTTCTCGCGCCCATGCTCGCTGTCCTGCCACCCGCCGCACTGGGGGGCTTCGTCATGTGGGTCGGCATCGCCCTCGTTGCCGCGTGTCAGGTCCTCGCAAGGACGTTCACCATGCCGGCTGGCATCATGCTGCTAAACAATGGCAGTCCAGAATTCC